AAACTTACAGATACTTATGAACTTACAATGAGTCATTTTCCCCTAGGTTTTCAACCACAATTCGCACGCGTCACCAATATGACATCTCTCAATCATGATGGTTGTACTAAGTGTAACATAGATTCAATATTGCTCATGCGAAAACTTTATGTGATAGTTTTTTTAGTAATTGTTTACTTTTTCCACTTTTTTCCATATGAATAGGAACTATTGCGGGGTGAGTTTAAGTGTTTATTGCCTGATCATAAAAGCGGCATATTTGATCTTGTGCTACAGAGGGGAAATAGAAACAGAAGGATGTGAATGAGATAAGTTTCGTACTAGGTATGCAGCGAATTTATTACCCGATCATAAAAGCGGTGTGTTTGATCAAGTGCTATAGAGAGTACTGAATGATAAATGCAGGGGAGCAAAGATTTAGAAGGAAAGAAAGATGAAAGTGGAAGTTTATGGTTCGGCATATTTAAAAGTCGGTGGATAAAATCAAATCAAAGTGGTAAAAAGTGGAATGGTTTTTATAATTTTTCAAAGAAAAAGTGGGTTGGTGGGAGTAATTTTCGCTTTATATAGAGATTTTAGTTTTGTAGTGAAATCAGTAATATTTGAAGTTTTCAAGACTGAGTATCTTATGCAGGAGTTGGTGAAAAAGTGATCCTTATATCTTTAAATGTGCATATTAATGCGAGTAAAAGAGACAACTGTATAGACTTCACATACTCCTTAAACAAAAAAATATTCAAAATTTCAGCACTATCAACATTTAAAAGTGGATGCACTTTCAAATGGATGAGATCGGTGAACACTTAACAATTGATAGACATTTTTTAATTGAATAATTTAGCATATACAAATTAAAATATAAAAAATGTATTCTAATTTTTGAAATATATCAATAACATAAATAAAGTTTAAACGAAAAAAATAGTTTCAATCAAATATAGATCTACCTCTCCCTCCCACCATTCTCTCTCTCTCTCTCTCTCTCCGCTGTCATTCAGACGCTCTCTAATGTACTACCTCTGTCTGTCTCTCGGTCTCTCTCTATCTCTCTCATACGCACTTTCTCTCTCTCTCTCTCTCTCCTCATCTCAAACACACACATACACACATACACTCTCATACTCTTTCTCTCTCTATCTCTTGCAAAAGGTTGAAAGCCGATTCTGAAACAGGGAATCAAAATGATATCAATTTGATATCATTTTGATTTCCTGTTTCAGAACCGGCTTTTTCTCTCTACTATGACTTTTGGTTGGTTCGGCTTTGTGTTTGTATTTTGCTTTCTTAATATTTGAATATAAAAAACCAATTGGCTGCTTGAAACTTGGTTTTTGAGGTATATATCTTGAGTAAATTGAAGAATATTCACATTTTTGACAAAATCAATTATTTTTCTACTAATAAGAAATTACGCTGCTATAGCGGTTCCTTTCCATTTGATAAATTCAAATGCTGCGAATAAGCTAATTTTCATAAATAAGTTTTGGTATAATTGGGTTATGCATGTTGGATTTGGTTTTGAATTTTAGTGGATTGTTCGTTTGGATTTTGTCACACCTGTTACCCTGTGATAAGATAAAGAATGATGATCCCTCAGGAATCGGTAGAATTGGCTGTGGAGGATCTTGAATTTCAGACATTCGACGAGGTCTAGCCGATACCGTTTTATTATTTTCTCCATCATTTTCAATAATCTCTTTAGTTTCTTCTTCTTTATCTAGTTATTTAAGTGAGTGTTGATTCGAGACGAAACGAAAGAAAAAAAAATCAATTGAGCCATATTTCTAACTTAAAAATGATATTGAAATATTACACACTAGGTCTAGTGCCCTATTGAACAAGATAAGCAAAGTGAACTTTTTATAACACGACAAATATATCGACGATACAGTTGAAAAATCTCCCGTTATCCTTGCATATTTCGATGCCTTATTTCTTAGTTTTTGTAATACCAATGACAGTGTTGATTTACAATTTTTACCTGTTTGTATGTGGTATAAGGAAAAACGCTTTTTCCTTGGGCAGCGGCTTTGCCGCAGTTTTGATGCTCACTTCAGATAACCGGCGCGGTCGTGCTGTAGTTACTGTTTCATAATTATAATCTTTTCGATTTTCTATATTTTGAATTTTATCCAAACATTTAAACTTCTAAACATTTATTAACTATAGCTAAACAGCGAAACAACTGAGCTACACTTTCCTACCTCTAGCCAGTTTCATAGTGACAATATATAACACATACAATTGCATTTAACCAACATAAATTTTACCTTGACCATCGTCTTCATAACCTTCGTCGTCTTCTAAACGGATCTTTGTCTCCGAAAATGATTCTTCGTCACTGCGGCTAAATATTACAAATTGAAACAAAATTAATATCAACTAAAGAATTTAAAATTGTCTTCACTCACAAGTTTTCGTCAATATCTTCGATTTCGATATCATGTAAATCATCCAAATCGTCAATCATTGGAGTTGGACTTCGTGACTTTGATTTATTTTCATCTTGCTGAGAAATCGAGATGTATGTATGAATGAAACAATTAATATCTTAAAAATGTAGAAACATTCACACAAAAAAATAACTTTTAAAAGCTAGATGATGATTCGTTCAAAATTCGTTTGTGATGATTCGTTTGTATTCAGATGAGTCTTCGTTTAGTTTAATTGTTCGTTATGATAAATTCTAAACGAATCGCCATCTAATTTTGAAAAGTTATTAATTTGTGTGTTTATTCAATAACTTACACCCTCTTTGACCACTTCAGTAAGTGAATCAGCATCGGCCAGGTTATCAACAGCAATGGCCAAGAAGACGTTTAGTAGAATATAATTACCGCAAATGAATAAAATAATGAAATAAATGCTAGCGAGTGCACCTCTCCACCCAACACCGTCATATGCCAGAATGCCATTATACATAACTGCATTCCAATCTTCTCCAGTTAATATCTGTCATTTTCAAAAGTTAAAAATAAATGACTATGGTACCTAACGACTGTTATAATATTAGTAGATTGAATTAATGCCACGACATTCACCGAAAATAAATATTGATTCAAATCAATTGATTGTTTTTGGCATTATTTTAATCTTTTAAAAACTAAAAAATAGTTTTCATGGAATCTTATTTGGCATAGGCTGAAAATCTTACCTGAAATACCGTTAATAAACTTTGCCAAAATGTGTCGAAATTTGACCGTGGTTTGTCTTCTAGCTCATTGAAATTAAATCGGCCACCAAAGACTTGCATACCCAACAATGAAAATATAACAATGAACAAAAATAGAAGGAGCAATAGCGATGCGATCGATTGAATTGAGTTTAGTAATGAGGCGACTAAATTCGACAGCGATCGCCAATATCTTGTCACTTTGAAAACACGCAATAAACGTACACAACGCAAAACAGATAGTCCCAGAGGTGGCATTAAATCATATTTAGTTAATAGAATTTCAAATATACTGCCGAACACCACAAAACAGTCGAATCGATTAAACAATGACACAAAGTATCCCTGAAATCCCAAACTATATATTTTCAGTATCATCTCCATTGTAAATAACGTCACGAATACCATATTGGTTTTATCTTGAAATTCATTTAGAAAAGGAGCTTGATTGTGATGTTCCGTGGCCAAAACACCGGTATTTAAGAATACTAACAGAATAATAGTCCAATAAAATGCTTGCGATTTAACTGCTTTTCGGCAAGCACGTCGCATCCGGCGATTGATTCTATCAAAGTCTTTCTTCCATTTTTTCCACCATGTCTCTTGTAATCGTTCACCAATCTCTTCGCCTAGATGATCAGTGGAATCCATTAGATCATTTTGCACCTTCCCTTTGCCACTTTGAAGTATTGGTCCCTCAGCTTCAGGTTCAATATCTTCGGCTTGTGTAATCCAATCTAAATACCCACGCAAATCTTCTTCAATTTGTTGCTTTTCACGCAATTTTTGAAAGTCACCACGATTTTTTGCTTTTGTACGCTCTTTTGAAAACTCTCTAAAATATAAGAATCAAGCCGAATGAGTCTTTCACCGTTTTTTCAATGAAATTTTAAATTAATTTTACCCGCTCAAAACACCAAGAATTAGATTCATTACAAAGAATGCACCTAAAATAACCATCGACACAAAGTAAATCCATTGCCATGTATTTCCCATTGAATCTTGAATCCAATACAACACCTCAGTCCATCCTTCGAGAGTAATACATTGAAAGACTGTTAACATGGCCAAACCAAAGTTATCAAAGTTTGTAATGCCATCATTTGGTCCCTTCCAATCACCACCAGTTTTCACTGTACATGTGTAGCTTTGGTCATCAATATCTTTACAGTTAAAACCAACACCCGTTTCACTGCTACATGGTTGTGGATCAGATACCAGCTCTGTAAAGTGATTTAATTTAATAATAAAAGAAACCATGTCATCTCTAAAATCTAAATAAAAATATTATTATTTTACTATTGTTATGTTCTTACTATCGGTTTTTTTATCATAGCATGCGGCATGAAGTTTTCCAGAAAATAATTCCAAGCCAATAATAGCGTAAATAATAATGACAAATATGACTAAAAGGGCAATATGTAGTAAAGGCACCATAGCACGAAGAATTGAATTCAATACAACTTGAAGACCTGCAAAAGTCACGATTTTCAAAAAGTAGATATATACGCCATTATTGAGGGCGTAAAATTTGTATTTATATATATGAAACATACTTGGAACTCCAGAAACTAGTCGCAATGGTCTTAATACTCTAAATGCTCTCAAAGCCTTAACATCGAGACCTTCTGGCATAAAACTCTGTATAACGGTACTCAGCATCCTGCAATAATAATAAGAACCAAATAATTGAAATATGACATTCTTTTACAAATAAAATAAAATAAATTTCTTACCCAATCACTACAATGAAAAAATCTAATAAATTCCATCCATTTCGTAAATAAGAACCGGGATGCATCACAAAACCGAATGCAATAATTTTCATAACACACTCCGAAGTAAAAATAAACATAAAAATCATCTCCACTTTTTCTAGTGATGTATTTGTTATATTTGAATCACCGGAGGGGTATGGTGTGAATATGGCTAATGCTATGCAGTTCGCAAAAATGGTCAGCAAAATTATATATTCGAATGTTCTGTGATTGCGATTTTCAACAGAAGTTAAGGAAATTTAAGATTTCAATTAGGAATTTTAGAAGTGTAAAAATATCAAAAATTGGTAGCTTTGAAATATATGGGGGAATTGTGCTAGCAGTGGGACATGTTTTGTTTTTCGAAGAAAAAAATGAACCCTTAGAATATATCGAGAAGTTGTATATACCATTTTAATGTTAATGTCTGTTGCTACATTTTTTCCAAAGAAACTTATATGATTCCGTTTCAAACAACATTTCTCTTGACAATTTTCTGAAGAGATGATTTTTTGCCAAAAAAAATTTTCTGGCCACCAGTGGGACACTAGGTAAAACGCAATGGAGATTGCTGGAAAACTAGAGAAATGAACAAAAAACATCAAGTTACGAAAGTTTATAGAATATTTATTGAGTCAATTGTCCATTCATATGAGAACAAACAAAAATTATTCGATTATACTTAATCATCTACTGACCCGGGCTGGTGGACCGTGTGGGTGACCGTTAGAATATCGTATGTGATCGTAAGATTATTATTGAAAAGATGTGGTTTTTAACGGTGATCAGATGTTTACCATAGTATATCACTGATTCATACCTTTTTCCCACCAACAAATGTATAAAAAATTGTAAAAACTCAAATGATTCAGCCAGTTTTGGCGGTGAATAAAGATTATTATTATTATTATTAATTCCTTCGCATCATTGGTATATTTAGACTCACAATTTTTGCATGTGAAATAACTGACCGATTTGTTGTGGCATTTCAAGTTTTCTGGTGCATCGCACTCGTTGCAATGTATGGTGTTGTCTCGTGCCTGTCTTTGTGGCATTTTTTCGAGTAAACCGTACAAAGTTCTACACCTGAAGTGGTCGATGAAGATGACGATGCCTTTATCTTTGCTCGTTTTGCAATTTTCTTTCACTTTTCCTTTTGATGTTCACTTGACCGATTTTAGAATGGGACTGAGACAAGTGGGCGAATGTCACCCACTTATATACCCACCAACTAATTATTAGAATATTCTGGAAATTTCAAAGAAATCCAATAGAACGTTCTAGAAACTCATGAAATCGAGTCGAAATTCATTCAAAAAGCGTGTACCGATGATATGAAACGTATTCGAGTCAAAGCATTTACATACTGCAGACAAATGTCCATCAACATTTTTATGAAAACACACACAAAAAGAAAAAATTTGGTAAATTTAATTCGTTGTTGGTTAATTTTATATTAAATCTACCAAAATTGAATTAAAAATACCACATTTTTTCTTTCTGTGCATGTGATACACTGAGATGACTTCTAGTGGATGTCCCACTGCTGGACAAATCAAGTGTCCCACTGGTGGAAAATGCTTCATTTTGACCAACCAACGAATGCATATGAACGCTCTAGAATAAAAACAACTTATTGTTTACTCGCATATCGAAACGCGACTCAAAACGGTTGCATATCAAAGCGAGACAATATTTCGTTACCAAAGGAATAAAGAACATTAACTTTTTATTATACAAAATGTGTAAGTTTCATTTTGTGCTGATAACTAGCTACTGTTCTGTTTTAGTAACAGAATTTTGTTTCGCTTTGATATGCGACGCAGTTTAACGGTATAAATATTTCACACTCTCGAAGGCTCGGTATAGAACACACAAAAAGTGAAAAAAAACTTCTTATTCTCAAATTTCATATACAATCAAAGGCTTGTATCAGCGATTTTTATTGCGCAGTTGTCTGTCAATAGAACGTTGTTTGTAAACACAATGCCATGCATTGAGAAATTACATGTGAGGGTGAGCGAGATAGCATTGAACAACGATTTGGGTGACAGAAATAGCAAATTTTTACAATCGGTCGAACCAGATGATATAGGCGATTTAGTTGTGCATAAAAATTGAGAAAAAAAATCGGATTTTTTTCACTCTTTATACTCTATACCGAGCAAGATACCGAGTCTCCGAGAGTTTCATATGTACGGCTGGTAATAAAAGAGACTTTAAGCAGAAAAAATCTTAAAAGTGTCTCATAATTTGTATAGGATTTACATAAGATGGGGACGGTTTAAAAAAACTTAAAGTCACTTTTATTCTCAGCCGATCATATAAGGTTGCCATTTAGCAGGCAAATAACACCCATTAAATAATATACGAATGCCAATCGTGATTTGGATGATAAGGAATGCGGATTTTTTCATTCTGATTTAACCAGGTGACACAGAAAATTGAGCCAGTATTTGTAATTATTATTATTTTCCATTTTTCGTGATTTTTTACCATCTAAATATATGGGAAGCTTGTATGAAAAACACGGAAGACCGCTGAAATGGCACTATCGTACGTCCGCACATATTTTGTATTTGTCATTTCAGCGGTCTTCCGTGTTTTTCATACAAGCTTCCCATATAGTTGGTAAAAATTGGCGAAAAATGAAAAAAATAATTAAATTTTTTTCTTCAATTCTCAAATACTACTCAATTTTCTATATCACCTGGTGAAATCAGAATGAAAAAAATCGCATTCCATATCATCTAAATCACGATCTGGACTTTTTTCACTGTTTGAGTGCTCTATACCGAGTCTCCGAGAGTTTCATATAAACTTGCTATGTGATGCCTATTGAATAGTAAGCGATTACCAATCGTGATTGAATCAATAGGCGTCATTTGGCTATTGCAAGGCGAGTTTATATGAAACTCTCGGAGACTCGGTATAGAACATAAAAAGTGAAAAAAAATCCGATTTTTTTTCTCAATTCTCGAACACCACTAAATGGTCTATATCATTTGCTGTGAAAAATTTGCTATCTCTTTCACCCAAATCGTTGTCCAATGCTATCTCGCTCCTCCTTGTATGTATGAATGTTTACAATGGACATTCTATTAACACACAACTGCGCAATAAAAATCGCTGATACAAGCCATTTGATTGTATATGAAATTTGAGAATAAGAAGTTTTTTTTTTTACTTTTTGTGTGTTCTATACCGAGCCTTCGAGAGTGTAAAATATTTATACCGTTAAACTGCGTCGCATATCAAAGCGAAACAAAATTCTGTTACTAAAACAGAACAGTAGCTAGTTATCAGCACAAAACGAAACGTACACATTTTGTATAATAATAAGTTAATGTTCTTTATTCCTTTGGTAACGAAATATTGTCTCGCTTTGATATACAACCGTTTTGAGTCGCGTTTCGATATGCGAGTAAACAATAAATTGTTTTTATTCTAGAGCGTTCATATAATCCCTTTTCGAATCGTTGAAAAATGTTCATTTAATGGGCCCTACCGAAAACCTCGGAAAAGTCTTTTTAGAATTTATTTTGGGAGGTGTTTGGCATTGTATAATGAACGCGTGTGATCGCGCTAAAAACCATTTAGAAAGTGATTGTGCATTAATATTAAATTATCAACGTGAAAACATTGACATCTTTAGTAGAAAAAATCAAAAATATTTCACTGTCCCACTGCTGGACTAGTCCCACTGCTAGCGCAATTCCCCTACTTGCAACTTTAGACTCTTTATTTTTTATTAATAAAAGAATAAAACTGCAAAATGTTTGAAAAACATTGATTTCTGTCTGAAAGTGTTTCATAAAAAGGATACTTCCATTCCACTATTTCAATGCATACTTTTCGTATGCGATTTTTTAGGCCCAAACAAAAAAGTGCTCGTACAGGTCGTTCGGGTTGTGCCTTGCCTCCTCGTCGAACTGGTCTTTTTGGTGGGGCTGGTGTTGTTGATTGTGTGGCTCCCGCAATAGCTGTTGCTGTTGTTGATGGAGCTGGACATCCGCCTATTCCGAGTGTGTCACCTCCATTAACAGTACCATTATAATTACTCGCCATTTTCCGATTTCGAAAAAATATTGACCGCCCTCTGCAAAAAACAATAAATTTTAATATCGCGTATTCAAAATAGGATAATTTATAGAAAAAATTACACTAAATCGCTTATGTTCCTATTACAGTTATTATTAGATGATGTGAGGGGTGCTGTCACAGATGATATAGCAACAGTAATTGGTTTTTCTACCGTTACCGTCTGCCTTGATTTTGAACCCGTTTTGAAATTGTTGTCGAAAATAGATTCGGCTCGGATTGCTGTCGACGCTGAACTGCTGATATTGACTGTATCAGAAGATGGAGAGTATGCTTGTTGCTTTTCAGTTTCGAGTGGTGAAGATCCAGTGATATTAATTTGTTTTGACACTTGTTGAATAATACTAGTTGACGGGCTTTCACTACGTCCGTTGGGACAGTTATTATTTTGGTAAGCCTTATTGTTATTGCTGCCTTGTTGTGTTTGAAATGTACTTTTCCTGGCTGAACTACTTTTGGATGTCTGATTCGAATTGGAGTTGTCAGATTTACAAAATTCATGCTTGTCCCCTAGAATTGTACAGTATCGTAAATTTATTTAAATGATGTTTAATTAACTGTTTAATTACGGAAAATGGTAATGACAAGAAATCGATTGTAAATTATCTAGTTTCAATTAAGAATTTACAGTGGTATTGCGATATATGTTTGACCTTTACGGTAAATGGTATCGCATCAACTCTCGTGAATAGTGCCAAAATCATATCGGAATTTCAATCCACTGTCCAACCTCAATTGGAACCAGTGATGGTTTTTTCCTATCTGTATAGCGCTAGCTATTCGCAGCGCCTGTACAGCATTGCTGCCCAGATGCTGAATAGTAGCGGTTGCCGCACGCGCAACACACTTCGTTTGTACCACAAAGAGCATATACGTTCGCGTTCGTTCTCTGTTCGACATGCGTTTGTATACTGACTATGGTATTATATATATAGTGTATCATACTCTGCGAGCTCAGTGGTTACTTAGACTATATGACAATATGTTGTGTGGTACAAAACGCGTGCGGCATCACGGACCGCTTCGATTCAGCATCTGGGCAGCAATGCTGTTCAGACGCTGCGAATAGCTAGCTGCTAGCGCTATTCAGATAGGAAAAAACCATCACTGATTGGAACAATTGAAGCCCTCCAACGCAGCCACTTCGGCACAGCAAATTAATGGCGCGAATTCATCATTATCCGCCCCAATTTTGACACAGTATTCAGTAATTCATACTGACATTCCATCGACTACGATCAATCAGATGGAAATCGATACCAATATCATTGTTGATATCGATGCAAACAGTACCGATGTGATTGACCCTGTTGATAACAAAAAAAATGACACCAGCATAATTTTGATTTCGTGTGATATTTTGACCAATGATGTTCCGACCAGAGTATTGCTCAGCGCTGCTGCCATCCAGAGCATATTAAAATATCTTGCTGAGAATGCGTCGTCCGTCGCATGCGAAGGTACGTAGCAGTTTATACATCACAGTGAACAACAATACATGCATTGTTCTCTATTCAATCGTTTGAATGTTTTGAGTCACATAATCGTGAAGAGAACAATGGATTCATTCTTGTTCGCTGTGATGTATGAACTGCTACGTACGTTCGCATGCGACGGACGACGCATTCTCAGCAAGATATTTTAATATGCTCTGGATGGCAGCAGCGCTGAACAATACTCTGGTTCCGACCGTGAGACCAAAGCCAAAAGTTTTACGAGGGCGTCGTAGATCTGTCAGTCCATCGACTAGATTAAATGTGTCGACAAACACAGTGTCAAATCCACGCAAAAAAAGGTGAAGTGACAAAGGCTAGCTCACAGCCTAATTCAATGGCGGTTTCACATCTCTAGTCAAAAGTCGTTGGAAGGAATACTACAGCTACCTCAAATTCTAACAATAATTTGAATTCCAAAATGGCAAATTGTGATTTTGGGCATCGGGTCGGTCATACAATAAACTCAAAATTGTATAAAACAAAACGGTCTATCTTTCACCGTTTCGGCCAGATACTACCGTTGATGATGTCACCGATCATTTGAAATCACACCAGTGTTACAGTGTTGTAGGTGACTTGAAGGTGATCAAACTGGTGAGCCAAAATAAAGATACAAGGAAATTATCGTTCGTTTCCTTTAAAATTGAAGTGCCAAATCGTTATTTCGACATTATTATGGACAGTTCCATTTGGCTACCGGACGGTAAGGCCGAAGAGTTTGTTCAAAATTCATTGCCTAGCAATAAAAATTCTAAATCAGTTCCACCTCCCAAACGAACTGACAAAAATTCAAAAAACAAGAAACTCGCCTCGTTCAAGCCACCAATTCATGGTCGAAATCGACGAAAGTCACAACAAAGGCAAACCATGATACCGGAAATTCCACCGATTGCCAACTTGTTGCCGCTGCTGTCTCAATGCCTACTCAGTCCACTGATGGGATCGTACAGTCAGCCTCAACAAAATCGTCGCAACTAAGTAACACAAATCACTCACTCTCTCCTCCAACGACTTTGGTGTGCAATGATATTTATTATCAAAATGTTCGTGGCTTGCGCACCAAATCAAAACAATTTTTCTGAAATTCGTCGGCATTTGCACATTCGATTGTTGTTTTAACGGAAACATGGTCAACCATGTTGAACTAATCTCATTTTTCGTCAGAATTCTTTGACAATTCATACCATGTTTACCGTAAGGATCGTTTTGAGACTGGTTCATCGTTAAGTCGTGGTGTGGTGTACTCATCGCAGTCACCTCAAAACTAACATCCACCAACATTGTATTCGATGACTCAAGTAAATTGGAATATGTCTGCGTTAAAGTCAGCATTAATACAAA